TCTTTTGAATTTTTTTACTTGCTAAAAATAATATTAGGGGGTATGCACTTTACTACTTAAACCAATAAAAGTTTTGATATACCCTCTGAACTTTCAAAAGCTATAGAGTATTAACAAACAAACATAAAATTATCGAATTAACACTAATGATTTTAGCATCTCTCGTGAAGCTGCTCAAAACATGCAGGCTCTCTAAAGTATTGGATTTCTCAGCTCCTCCACCAATTTTGTGTCCTTTTAAGGCTCTCTAAGGCTCAGTTTGGAAAGGGTATAAATACAAATATGTATAGTGAAATGCAAACAAAATAATATAAAATATAAGATTTTGCACTACATAAATATATGCATATATTTGTATGCCTTCCAGTAGGTCAAATATGTTTAAAATAGTAATTTGTTAAAAAGGGGTTCAACTATGATATTGAAAAATATTATAGCCAATCAACCGGTATCATAAAAGAGGTGACAAATCATGTGGTATTCATTAAAATTCACGGGAGTGTTTTGATCGGTGAAAGCTCTTCCAGTACCATGTCTTCTTGGTAGCATAGGTTTTCCCTTTGAAAAACTTAGGGGGTGTTATCCAAAATGAATTGTTCTTATTGTTGCTAGTTCTAAAAATAAAGCAAAACCAACTGGTTTGAATTAAATTGGCTCTCAAAACAGTGACAAGAAACATCTTCTTAGTTATGCATATGTTTTTTGTTTCAAAAAATGAAACATAAAACATGTTCTTGAATTCTAGGTTTAGAAAAAATATTTTTATACTATTATTTAATAGGAAAAACTTTGTTGTTATACAGACATGATATTTAATAGGAAAAAACTATTCTTATACTATTATTTTAATAGAAAGAGCTTTGACCAATTAAAACACTATGTGAATTCTGTACCATTTATAAAAACAAAAATGGTTATCGTCAAAAGACTTTAATTTTTCTATTTCTACTATTGCCCCTTAGTCATTATACCTTGATTTTTATGACACAACAATTCAAGTGAGGAATAAAGATAGGATATTTTATTTATTTCTATTAAAATGAGAATGGTAGATGGGTAATTCGATTATCTATTTCCATTATTACCCCCCTTTAGTCATTGTTATTCCAATTGTATTTTATACTATTATATATAGTATTTTATATTTTCATTATTGTCCCTCCTTAGCCCTTATACCCTAATTTCTCTATAATCATTATATATTTATATATCTATAATAAAAATAAGGATGGTAAGAATGTTTCGTCAAAAAGCCCGATTACACTTCCCTTTTTATAGGGATGCAAATGGATCGGGCCGGATTCAAATCAGGGTATATTTGAATCTGATCTAATAAATTATAGGTCCAATCCAATCCGATCGGATCACACAAATATTGATTTAGATTCAAATTTGATATGGATGTTGGATATTCAAATTTGATCCAATCATATTTAAATATTTAAATAATAAATTATTAAAAAAAGAAAATATAACAATTTAAATAAAGAAAAACAAAAAAATGAAAAGTACTTTCAACTATTTTCATCATGTATACATGTTTTTATAAAAAATAAATAATATAAAAATGTATAAAAATATAATATAAATAGCATATTGGATCCTTTTGAATCGGATAGGGGTGATCCAAATTTGATTCAATTTTTAATTGGATTCGATTATCCAATCCAATCCAATCCAATCCGAAAATTCGTAATGAAGATATCGAAATCCGACAAAATAGGATCAAACTTTGGACTGGATCAAATCGTGATCCCTTTTTACCCTTTATGTTTTTTGTTATTTCAGTATTTATTTAACCTATCATTAAATGGGATGTACACTATGAAACAAAGTTTTTTCCAATAAAAATGAATACTAACTATTAACATATTGACTATCAACCAAAGGTGCATCTTTTCAATTTTACCTTCATCATTTTTTGTTATTCCAATTAGAGGTGTCAATTGGATTGGATTTGGTCCAACTTGATCCAATCCAATGTGAGTCAACTTACAAATGGACTTGATCCAATTTAGTCCAAATCCAATACAAACTTAATTCAATCCAATCCCTTAAAATGTAAATGGACTGGATTTGATGCAATCCAAACCGAATGAAATATAAAAAAATTATATAAAATGACAAAACATATAAAAAATTATAAAAATATATTAAAACGAAGAAAATCTAAAAATTACAAAAGTATACACTTTTGGAATTGAAAAAACACTTTTGCAAAAGTTTTTTTGTAAAAGCACTTTTATGAAAGTACTTTCGTAAAAGCACTTTTTATAAAAGTACTTTCGCAGAAATGCTTTTATAAAAGTGCTTTCGTAAAAATGCTTTCATAAAAGTACTTTCGTAGAAGTGCTTTTATAAAATTTCTTTTGTAAAGTACTTTTGTAAAAGTGCTTTCATAAAAGTGAATTTATAAAAGTACTTCCACAAAAGTGCTTTTATAAAAGTACTTCCATAAAAGTGCTTTCATAAAAGTACCTTTATAAAAGTACTTCCGTAAAAGTGTTTTTATAAAAGTACTTCCGTAAAAGTGTTTTTATAAAAGTACTTGTGCTTTCATATAAGTGTTTTTTTGTGTAAAAGTACTCTTATAGAAGTGCTTTCTTAAAAGTGCTTTTATTAAACTATTTTCGTAGAAGTGCTTTTATAAAACTACTTTTGTAAAAATGCTTTCATAAAAGTACTCTTATAAAAGTGTTTTCGTAAAACTACTTTTCATAAAATTACTTTTGCAAAAGTGTTTCGTAAAAGTAATTTTATGTTGGCTTCAGTTTTGATCAATTATAAATTGGACAAGGGTTTGGCCTCATGATTAGAGTATTGGAAGTTTGGTTTAGATCCAATTCAGACCAATAAGAATATGGACCAATTTATTTTGGATTGGCCCAACCCAATAATTATAATGGATCATCCAAATCCGATTTGATGAGTTTTGAATTGAATTGAATCCAATCCAAAACYAGTCAATTGACACCTCTAGTTCCAATATTTGATCTATCATAAATGTGAAACTATAAAGTGGGTTATACCCAATACAGCCGAGTAGCAATTGAGCTAGCCCATACCTCCGAGTTGTGTTGGGCTTGGGTTTTGAGGCTCGTGTGTCAGCACGATATAGAACAAAAAAGTGGACCATGTTGGTATAGGTCCRTAGCCTATCACGAAGCAAGCCTATATATATACATTCAGTTTTATTTAAATTATATTGCAATTTTTTTTTTAATTTCATATATATATATACACCAAAATTCATATGGAATAAAATTTTAAGATTTTTTTTCAATTTCTTGTATATTTTGTTAATTTATTTAACTTTTTATTATTTTTTTCAATTTTTTTAATAAAAAACCATGCCTCTCACACCCCGACCTATGGCTGATGAGCTCATTTAGGCTTGTGCTACAGGCTTAACCTTTGAAGAATTTCAGGTAGAGCACGACCCACCCAGGACCACGTGTTGACGTGGCACGACCTATTAAAGCATGGACAACCCGCAAAATCGTGTCGTATCGGCTTAACACAACCCACTTTATATTTTCTGACGAAGTAGTGAAAAGTGCAAATTAGAGACAATACAAAAAAAGGGCATGAAAGATAGTAGATAACAAAAATACAAATAGATGAGAAAGTAATATCAAAGAAATAATAATAAATTGTCAAACATCAATGGAACCACTTTCTAAGGGCCTAAATATAAGTTATTCCCAACTTAGGGTCAAATCGATATTTTCATATCAAATTGTATTTTTTTTATCGTACTTGATTTACATTAATGAATTTAATTATAGTTTTAGCTATTATTTTTTCATTCATTGATGCAGTGGCTTCTCCACTAGTTTTGATAAACATCACTTACCACTTTCTTGATACCGATTGATTGGTTAATGGGCGTTAAACAAAAATGATCAGCATACATGAGTAAAAGCCCCCCCCGCCCCTATTCAAACACATGGCTTTCCATTATTTTTGAAGAAATAATATTTTCAAAGGTAATTTGTTCATATTTTTAAATAAAATTCAAATCACTCTAAAAAATTAAAAAGTTGAGAATTGTTAACTCTACTTTCAATTAGTAGTCTTTAAGTTTATCCACGTGTCAAACCACTCTTTCAAAAGTGAGGATAGTTAAATAGAAAACAAATAAATAATTTTATAAAAATAAAACTTAATTTAATCTCTTAAATTAAATAATAAAAAATGGCTGTTAAACAATAATAATTAGCATAAATGAGTAAAAGAAATAACAGAATACTAGCCCGTAATTAGTAAGGGTGGGGGGGTTCATGCCTTGTTGAGTTTTGAAACAAAACCAATTTGTTTTTAGTTTTCAAAACAAAAACATAGTATAAGAACATATTTTTGTTTAAAAAAAAAGAAATAAAAAACATACATATTGTAGAAGACCCCCTTACAATTTCAAATAATGTGCATAAGACCATTTTCCTGACGGAAGGCTAACGGAGGCTCAGGAAGTAAATGACATACCCTTATAGTTGAGGGGGGTTTTGAAATTTACCTAGAGATAAATCTGTAATGTCGAATATCTTCTCTCCGAGGTAAATGACATACCGCTGTCTCACCGTCGTTGTCCCCCACCAACAACACGTCTGATCGTTAGTGTGTCATTTTCTGGCTAAATTCCGGCGAGCATGCCCGCGTCAGCGTCCACCAACCGGCCGGCAGACCTGATCGGTCGGTTGAAATCCAGCGAGGGCGAGGCGAAGCTCAAAGCCCTAAGAGAAGTGAAGAATCAGATTATCGGAAACAGAACCAAAAAGCTCTCCTACATCAAACTTGGTGCTGTTCCTATCGTTGTTGACATCCTCGCCAGCGCAGATGACTCCGACGCCTCTCTACTTGTCCAATCCGCCGCTGCTATCGGCAGCTTCGCCTGCGGTGTTGACGTCGGTGTCAAGGCCGTTCTTGAATCCGGGGCGTTTCCGCACCTCATCCGCATCCTGTCAAATCCAGATGAGAAGGTAATCGTAACTCGGTTAGCTCACCTCTGTTCAAAATTTTCTTGTTATGGAACGGTTGACTTTGAGGTTGAATTCATGAGTAGCTCTGTTGAATTGTGGGGAACTAACACAGAACGACCAATTGTTTGAAACTCTTCAACCCATATATATTACGTTTAAATTCGGAGCTTAATAAATGGTAACAATTTCGGCTTTGGAGTATGTAATTTGAAGGAGGCTGCATTAATTTATCTCCTCTTGTGATTGTATTCCTTAGTAATATCATTTCCCACAAGATCATTGAAATGGAGATGCGACTATGTGCATTACTTAAATATATTAAGATGTTTCCATGCCCACGAATCCACGATGATCCTTGAATGGAATGTTGGAAGAGATGAGATGGTGAGCAAAAGAGAATTTGGTGACAGTTTTGGTCAAGGTTTCTTCAACCCTTCAGCTATGATTTTGGAGTATGTTAGATAGCTTCAAATTTATTTCAGGGTTTGGCAAGATTTTTATGTAAGYTTCCAAGATGATGCAATCCTCCTCCTTTATCTGGGTTTGGGAGCAGCAGTCAAAGGCATTCTCAAAGCTGTTGGAATAGTTCTAAGTTCCATTTCTGGTAGAAAGATATGGGTCTCGGTGACAAAGCTATCAGATTGCAAATACATATATGATTTCATGTCCCATTTTGAGCAACCACCACTACTGTAAAGGCTCTGTGGTTTGAAGCATGATTTCTCTTGGTTTCTACCTATGCAAATATTCATTCCTTTTATTTTGCCAAGTGCAAGAATTTGGTGGTGAGGAAAAGCCGAAGAGGTCAAGTGTTTCTAGATACAACTAGAGTGTTTCAACTGCTGCAACCAAGCATTGGGTGGGTGAAGAGATCAAGTGTTTCTAGTGTGGCTATATTGTTAGGCAAAGTGAGGAACTTTGATGTAAATTTTCATATCATGTTCTTGAACCTGTGATGTTCTATAAGTTCAACTTCAGCCATCTCCATCAGGTTAAATATCAATGTGATCCCCTGGCTATTTTGAAGTTTTAACCATTTGTACGGCGTGCCAATTTTTAATTTGTTGAATTGATCCTTGGAACAATTTAAATAGGAATTTTGGAGAAACCAATCTTCTGTATATCAATAATGGAACTGGACTTTATTTCGAAGCCTCCTGCTCATTTGAATTCATATTCTTTCTGTTATTTGAATTGCCCAAGCTCACTGGGAAGACTTTATTTTGTTCTTTCAGGTTGTGGATGCTGGTGCTCGTTCCCTGAGAATGATATTTCAATCAAAATTGGCTCCAAAATATGATTTCCTTGAAGAAAAAAAGTTGGAGTTCCTTCTTTCACTTCTGAACAGTGAGAATGAAAATGTTACTGGACTTGGTGCAAGCATCATAACACACTCTTGTGAGACAAGTGCTGAACAAAAGGTTTTGTGTAATGTTGGGGTATTATGTAGGCTTGTAAGTCTACTTGAAGGTTCTTTAAACCAAAGGGATGCTAGTTTAGATTCCCTAGCCACAATTCTCAAAAACAACTCTGATGTCATCTCAAAGTTTGTAGGACTTGAGAATGGAAGGGCTCTGAGTGCTATAACTGAGCTAACAAAGGACAGATGTCCTCGAACAAGACTTCTTGCCTGTATGTGCTTGATCGTCATAGGGAACACATCTCCTTGCTATCTTCAAGGTGTAGGAATAAAAACCAAGTTAATATCAATATTAGTTGAGCTTCTTGAGGATCCTGGTCAGGTTGGGGAGGAAGCTCCATTTGCTTTTGCATCTCTAATTGCAGACAAGGAAGATGTCCAAAAACTAGCATTTGAAATTGATGCTGTTGATAAACTTTGCAACCTATTGCACAAAGGTTCAGTACAGGTCAAACGTTTCCAGGGAATATTGCTAGCATTAGCTGAACAATGCTCAAAGTTAGAAAACTGCAGGTCGAGGTTCCTCTCATTGCAGGTTTGTCATCTTACAAATCTTTTAATTTGCATTGGTTGATTATTGCTCCCCCACCCCCAAGTTTCTTTTGAACAACCTTTTTGCATGATCATTAAATAGTTCTATTATATTATCAATAATAAAAATAATTCAATCATATATTACCACTCTATCTTTGTGCTAGATGAAAAATAATGCAATGAGAAACATTCATTTTCATTTTTTTTTAATAAGTGAAACATGCCTTTTCATTGCAGTAGAAATCTGCTGAATTAAAAAAAAGTATGAAAGAAAAGAGCGTTTTCTTGAAGAGAGAAGAAAAAAAGAGAAGAAGAGATCTTGAGAAGAAAGAGAGCAATCATCTGGCTGCACCCTTCACTTATTATTTATATTAAAAATATAAGAGGAGTACAAAGACTACTATGCTCTTATAGGGCGGAAAAACATAAAACAACATATAAAAGACTCAAAAAAATAATAAAATTTGGACTCACATAACTGCCGTGGTCCCCACTTAAAACAACACAAAACTGACTAATCTTCAACACTCCCCCTCAAGTTGGGAGTAAATGTCACACATTCCCAACTTGCGTAGATCATGTTCAAGTTTGTTCTTCGCAACCCCTTTAGTGAGAACATCAACCAACTGCAACTCTGAAGAGACATAAGGCAAACAAACTTCTCTGGTTGTTTTGTCTTGTCATGCTGAATTGGATTGTGGGCAATATTGATTGCAGCCTGATTGTCACATTACAACATCATAGGTTCCTCTGCTTTCACCCCAATCTCGCTCAATAGGGATTTAACCCAAAGTAGTTTTGAGACACCATGAGCTATGGATCTATACTCTTGATGTAATCATGTAGATCTCCTATCATTTAAACACCCTGCCCAGTCTGCATCTGTATAGGATTCCAACTTTAGATTTTTATGGTGAGAAAGGAATGCCTTTGCCGAGGTGCTTCTTCAGGTATGGAAGTATTTTCTCAATAGCTTCCTAGTGCTAAACCCAAGGTGCATGCATGTATTGGCTCACAACATTGACGACATAGGAAATATCTGGTCSTGTCATACACAATTATAATAATCGACCCACCATTCTTTGATATCTCCCCACATCTTTTACCAACTCACTATCCACAACATTAATTCTATGATTTGGATCAATAAGAGTATCGGCTGGTTTGGTTCCCAAATTCCTAGTCCCCCGCAATAGTTCAAGTACATACTTTCTTTGAGAAATGAAGATCCCATGCTTGGATCTTGCAACCTCAATCCCCAGGAAGTACTTGAGCTCACCAAGATATTTGATCTCAAATTCTTGCTGCAATAATTTCTTGAGAGTATCAATCTCTTCTAGATCATTTCCTGTAACCACTATATCATCCATATATACAATCATAATTGGCACAAGAACATCTCTCATCTTCACAAAGAGGGTGTGATCAGACTAGGTTTGTGTGTACCCAAAGCGGATAAGTGCCTCTCTGAACTTGTCAAACCAAGCCCTATGTGTCTGTTTCAGGCCATACAATGATTTTTTGAGTTTGCACACCTCCTTTCCTTTACCAACATTTTCATAAAAACCTGTTGGAATGTCCATATATACCTCTTCCTACAAATCACCGTTAAGGAATGCATTTTTAACATCAAGCTAAAACATGGGCCATGAATAGGTAGTTGCTAGAGACAAAAGAATACGAACTGAACTCATCTTAGCCATTGGTGCAAAGGTTTCCAGATAATCAATGCCATAGGTCTGAGTATACCCTTTTGCAACCAACCTTGCCTTGTACCTCTCTATCCTGCCATCGGCCCTGTACTTTACAGTGAATACCCATCTACATCTGACTGTCTCCTTGTATAGAGGAAGATCAATTATTTCCCAAGTTTGGTTTTTAACTAAGGCTTCCATCTCTTCTTGCATGGCTGTTTTCCACTCAGGTTTGGAAAGACCCTCAGTAACATTCCTGGGTATAGACACAAAATCCAGGGAAGAAAAGAAAGCCTGGTAGCATAGTTGTCAAGGCGATGCTTAGGCGGGTGCCTAGGCTACAAGGCACCCTTTGAGGCTCGCCTCGCCTAATCGCCTAATAGTTTTCTACTTGCTACTATAAAATACTTTTTTATTCACTCTTTTTTGAGATTATAATTATAAAATAAACATTATTAAACTACTACTACTACGCCTACTACGCCCCCCAATCGCCTAGCCTCACCTTGGCGCCTTGAAAGCTATGCTCAGTAGGAGGGTGATAAGGCACTGTAGGAGAGATGGTGTGAAATGCAATGAGCTGTACACTTTCTCTTCCCTTTGCAAAGTGCAATGGGAAGATCAAGGTCAGTGGAATCAACTGCAACAATAGTGTTAGGTACATGAACATTATCATTAGAAAAAATAACAGGCTCAGGTTCAGGCTCAGGCTCAAGGGGACTACCTAAAACTGTATCTGTTGAATATGGAGGTTTAGAAGGACTGATGGAGAGTGGTGTGGGTTGAGCATGTGTGGAGTCAACCATTGTCTGTCGGCGCTAATATTTCTGTGGGGTTGCCTGTAGTGGCTCAGTTAATGGAACTGATGGAGGCACAAAAGAAACAAGAAGAGGAACAAACTATGAGTTCTCTTCTCCAAGACTCTCCCCCTAAGGAGAACCACTCGAGAAAAAGTTAGTGGATTCAAAAAAGGTAACATCCATAGAAACAAATCTGGTCCTTGACACTGGGTCATAACAACAATACCCCATTTGGTTCTGAGCATACCCAAGGAAAACACATTTCTTGGCCTTAGGATCTAATTTCTTGTGATGGAGGCCAAGAATGTGAACAAAGGAAACACAACCAAAAACCCTCAGAGGTATATGAAACATCTCCCCATCTGGAAAAAGAAGGCTGAATGGCACCTTAAACCCCAAAGTTCATGAAGGAACACAGTTAATCAAGTGCACAGCTGTAAGAACTGCATCTCCCCAGAAATGGACAGGAAATGAAGCACATACCATAAGACTTCTTGCCACCTCCACAATGTGTCTATTTTTCCTCTCTACTACTCCATCCTGTTGCGGTGTATATGCACCACTGCTTTGATGAATTATACCAAGCTCTAAAAAATATGCGGTCAAGTCCTTCTTAGAATACTCTCTGGCATTATCTAATCTAAAGGCCTTAGTTCTCACTCCAAATTGTGTGAGAACCATCTGATGGAACTGTTGTACAAAATTAGGAATCTCATCACGGGATCTCATCAAATATATCCAAGAATACTGTGTATAATCATCCATAAACAAGAGAAATAACGGTAGCCACCCATGGAAGGAATATGATATGGTCCCCATACATCAGTGTGAATAACAGCAAAAGCAAAAGCACTTCTTTTATTACTTGGTTTAAAAGAATGTCTACAATGTTTTCCCAACTAACAACTCTCACACTCCAACGTAGATAATTGAATAGACTCAAATAATTTTGGAAACATAAATTTTAAAGAACCAAAAGAAATATGTCCCAACCGATTATGCCAAAGCATAATTTGACTCATTGACTTTGATCCACTACTATTGCTGCTACTAACATGGTGGCTTTGATGTCGCAGAATTTCATCCAGAAGGTAGATTCCATTCACCTCATGGCCACTCATAATCATCTTTTTTGACTCCAAATCCTGCAAAACACAATTACCAGGAAGGAAAGTCACTGAACAATTCAAATTTTTTGTCAAAGAACTAATAGAAAGTAGGTTGGTATGAAGTCTAGGGACATGTAAGACAGAAGATAAAGTAATGTCATTGGTCACTCTAACTGTCCCCTTCCCAACAATGGGAATATGTGAACCATCTGCTGTAGAGACTTTGTCTCTACCAGAGCACAACTGATAAGATCTGAAAAGGGTAGGAACATTAGTCATGTGCTCAGATGCTCCCGAGTTTATAATCCAGGGAGGTCCCTCCTTACCTGAAGTGGATGCAAGATTTGTAGTTGCATATGAACTACCTGTATAAGAAAAAGAAGTGGTGTAGTTGTCTCTTGTAGTTTGTTGTTCATCTAAAAGGCTAGAACTACTTGTATCTTTCTTACTCATAAGCTGTCCAAACCTTTCCAATTCTGTTATCACTGCTTCTACTGGAATGGATTCCCAATTAGTTTGGGAAAGAGGGGCCGAATTTTCTCTTGTAATGGCCACATTTGCATTTCCCTTCTTGTTCTTGATTCGAGCAAACATAAGATGTGGATGGAGCTTCCAACAAGTGTCTCTGGTATGCTTAGGCTTCTTATAGTAATCACACACTAAGTCCTTCTTATCCTCCCTCCTAGCCCCACTGCTCCCCCTGTTTCCATTCGGCTTAGGTTTGGTTGTACTAACCATAGCCAACTGGTCAATCCTAAACTGTCTCAGCATGACATTCTTCTTGCTCTCCTCTCCAGAAATAAAGGCATAGGCTTGAGAGTGTCACACTCTCCCTAGAAAGGATATGCTACCTAGCAATGTCGAATTTAGGGCTCAACCCTGCCAAGAACTCAAAAACCTTATTTTTCTCTACCAGTTTCTGATAGGTTGTTGCACCATTGACACTTTCCCACACCACAGTTTCTAAGTGATCTATCTCTTGCTAAAGGGTTTTCAGCATGGAGAAATACATGGCAAGGGGTTTGTCTCCTTGCTTTATAATAATCACCTGATTCCTTAGCTGATAGGCTCTAGCTACATTTTGTTTCTGAGAATAGGTTTCAGTCAGTTCATCCCAAATCTCTTTTGCAGTATTAGCCCATAGAAAATTTTTGCCAATGTGAGGTAGCATAGAATTACACAGATAGGACATCACCATGTAATTCTCTTGTACCCATCGAGAGGAATCTATATCAGGTTTCCTCTCCTCCCCAGTGATGTACCCTAATTTTCCGCGGGCACCAATGGCCATCTTGGCTGATTGTGCCCATTCTAAATAGTTTGTACAATCAAGTTTTACTGTAGTAATGATTCTAGACCCAAAAATATCACTACCACCTCCAACGCTCAGTCCCATGGTATCGGTGGATTTCAGCTCAGTACTCCAACTCTTCATCTTACTTCAAACAGTTCAATAGTTAGAAAGAAAAAGGTTGAAAGCCTCCAAGAACAATTTAAACCCACACACACAAGAGGCCTAAAAAGGTTCAAAAAACTAACCACCCCCTATAGAAAAATAAAAGAAATCCAATGATACCTATACGCCCAAGATCAGATAAAAAACCAAGAGTCCAACTTTTCTAGGACTCTTCCTCGTACTTCAGTTYTTCCTAATTTTGATGCCAAAACGAAGATCACCTTCATGATGACTAGATCTCACAAAAAAAATCTAAGAATTGGGCAATTTGTAGCAGATCAATCAGTCCTTTGTTACTTCATGCAGTCGATCGACATAGGGCTGCATGAGAATGCTTCAGGAACCCTAGCCGATGCTCTGATACCAAGTAGAAATCTACAAAATAAAAAAAAATGAAAGAAAAGAGTGTTTTCTTGAAGACCAATTTCCGGCCCTTTTTGCAAACTCCACCTTTAAAAATGAACCAATTGCCACTTTCCTTGTTCCTTCAAATTCAAATTCTGGGTTTGGGTGGAACTTGGGATTGAGAAGCACCCTCAGGGACACAGAACTGGATTGTACCTCAAATCTCCTGCCCATTCTTGATGGGATTTTCTTGGAGTCGGCAAAAACAAGTAGTAGGATCTAGACCTTGTCTCCTTTTGGATTCTTTACTTGTGCATCCTTCTTTAAGGCCCTATTGCAACTAGAAAGTCCTATTGGCTTGTCATTCCTTGTCAAGGATGTGTGGTGTCGACCTATACCTCCGAGGGTTGGGAGTTTTTGTTGGGAAGCTTTTCTGGAAAGAATTAACACAGGTGACTTACTTCAAACAAAAAGAGCCAATAGTTGTTTATCTCCACACTGGTGTATTCTTTGTAGAGCTGCTGGTGAGTCCGGTTACCACTTACTAATATCCTGTGTTTTGGTAAAAAATATTTGGGAATGGTTTGCTTCTTTATTTGGGTGCAGGTGGACTCCCCCAACGAACGTGYAAAGCTTGTTTACCTCTTCCTCTGTCAACTGCCCAACAAAAAGATCAAGGGTCATGTGGAGGTGTGTGAGAGCTGTGTTTGCTGGACAATATGAGAAGAAAGGAATTCAAGGATTTTCTCAGAAAAGGAGAGAGGGTTGGAAAATATGTTGAAAGTGATCCATATAAGGGTAATACACTGGTTGAAGACAATGGATGAGTTCACAGATTTTTCAACAGATGATATGCTAAGAAAATGGAAAAGAATTGCAAGTTCAGTCTCGGCTAAGAAGACCCTGAATACTACATGGAATCCTCCACCTCATGGATTTATCAAATTAAATTTTGATGGTAGTAGCATGGGGAATCCAGGGCCCTCGGGTATTGGGGGTGTTTTACGAGATGAGAATGGTAATATAACAGCTATGTTCTCTAGCTCAATTGGAGTGGGGGATTCGTTGAGGGCTGAGGTGCTAGCAGCCTTGGAAGGGGTACAAAGGGCTAAAGACCTAAAGGTCAATAAGCTGATTGTAGAGGGAGACTCTGTGATGGTAGTGAACTGGTTGAAAGAAGACAATCTAATCTCTGGAGTTACAGTAATGAGAAGAGAAAATTCAAATGGTTGTCCAAGAATATGGAAGTTCAGTGTAATTGGGTTAAGAGAAGTGCAAACTCGTTTGCTGATGGTCTGGCTAGGCAAGGAGTGAATAGGATTTTTGGGTTTTGGGCTCAATTGTAATTGTTTTGTTCATTTTCAGCTTGGGACTTATCCTTTCCCTGGGGAGTTAAGATACTTTAGCTCCCCTTTTTTGTAGCCTTATTACTATTTAATGAAATCTGTTGTTCTTGATCAAAAAAAAAAAAAAAAAGGCGAGATCTTGAGAAGAAAGAGAGCAATCATCTGGCCGCCCCCTTCACTTATTATTTATATTAAAAATATAAGAGTACAAAGACTACTATGTCCTTATAGGGCGGAAAAACATAAAACAGCATACAAAAGACTCAAAAAAAAAAATTGGACTCGCATAACTGCTGTGGTCTCCACTTCCTATCTAACAAGTAACAACTAACATAAAACAACTACTTTTAAAACAACAAAAAACTTACTAATCTTCAACAATTGCACATAATTAAAGATGATTCTTGTTTATCTTTTAATTCATTAGTCAAATGGTTGGCTTTTACTAGCTTTTTTCTCTCGGGAGTGCTGCTAATTAATTAAAAAAATGTGGTGAGCATTGTGAAAGTACACCTAGTGTAATTTAGAGGCTGCATCTTTTTGTAAAATTACATTTTTTAGCTTGGTACATTGAATCCTGTGTACATTGGTTTTTGGTTTGATAACCATTATAAATTGGATAATAGGTTCATCTCATCTTTGGAGCTGGTTTCTCTTCATTACTAAAGGGTGCATCTATGTTTTGTCAGCTAGGATTGGTGGCTCATTTGGATGTTATTATTTCTAGGTTTCTTTTTATGTCTTTGCATGTTGTCCTGTCAAGCTTCTTCTTTCTTTGGAAAGAGATGGGGGTTTTGTATGAGCAAGCCATCTTATTAAGCCTTTTGCACCATTTATTTGTATGGATCCACCACCTTCCTTTCACATGCATCATTTTACTTCAGTTATTATTTATATACATCATATAGCTGCATTAATAAAAAGTATCAAATTGCAGACATAGGGTCAAGTTGAGATGTAAGCAGTTCTGCCTTAGGATTTTGGTTTCCACCTATTTGTAGTCAGTCTCTTGACTTGAAATTGCCCATGCAACCTCTTCACAGTTCATGCTAACTGAGTTTTGATTTGTTGCAATAAAGCGTTATATCTACCTAAAAGTGCAGTTTAACTTGCTTGGCCCACTTATTTCTTTCAAAGTATTTTTTCTCTCCTTAAATTCCTTTAGTTGCAAAATGTTTGTTTTCCAAAATGCACATCAGTCATCAGTCTTCTGTTAGTTCTGTTAGCTTTTATTCTAAGCCCCTCCTGGGACACTAGAATCTTGTCTGCTCTATAAGGCCAACTGTCAACTGCCAACTGCCCGGATTGAGTAAGATGAACATTCTCTCAACCAAAAGAACAGGGAGGACCTTCAGAATGACTATTGATATGCCATTCAAGCATAAAATCCTTTGTCAAAATGCATCATCTGAATTTGCAATTCTTATTTGAGATTCATAAAAGGAAGAGTGAACCAGATCAGGGATAGTTTCAGAGTTTTTTCTTTGGACTTACATTATATGTTCATACCTTGATATATTTTTTTTCTCAAAAAATGTTTTGATAATATTACCAAAGAAAGATTTTTTTTTCCTCAGATGTGCATGCTACATACTAGTTCTCTAATAAATCATTTTGATTATCAATAGAAAAAGGAGGTCCTTCTGGCTTCTGTTTTCACCTTGTAAGTATTAAAGCTAGCATTTGATATATTTATATTAATGCATGGTTCTTCCTTGCTATTCCTAACTCAATCCTTATGGACTAGGTCTTGAACATGGTAACTGATGCATTAAATCATGAGAGTGTGGATGTTCGTGCTGTGGCTTGCCTGTGTATAAGAAATGTCTCTCGGTCACTTAAGGTTCGCAGACAGACTGTAGTAAAGATATTATTTTATCTTCTGTATGTGTTTTCTAATAAGATGTTATTCAGAATCTGAGTGCAGGTCGTTTTATGAATGAAAAGATTGTCACTCCCTTGCTTCAGCTTCTACATGATCCTTCTACATCAATCCAGGTACTTGTTATTTTTCTTGATGAAGATCATATTCCTTATTTGCTATGTTCCATTTTCTTAGGGATGAGAAAGTCTAGTTCTTTCTAGTCTGAGGTCAGCCTGGACCAAGGCCCTGAACTCAGACTTCAAGCTCAGGCTGGACCTAAGCCAGGCAAAGCTAATAATATTTGCTGCCTCGGGGCAGTCTGATCACAAAATGTTAGCAAATCTTTATATCTTTTTATTTTTTTTCTTAGAGGCTAATTTTCAAAGTCCAAACCCTTTAGACATATATCTTCTATATGTTTTTTAGTAAACAAAATATTATATTAACTGTTAGAAATATGCTAGGAGAGCTGCAAGTCTAGCCTGTTAAGATCATATACAGCATTTACATCTTGCTCCCATTTTATGATTAAAAGATTATATTTTGCCAGCCATTACAAAAAACAGAGAACTTTAGCCCTTCAAATCAGCAAGACTTAGATGCCCAAGAGAAGATCTTATTGTCCATCTTGCCAATGACTGGATTCATTTTGCATTTCTTCCCTTGGAAGATTTTATTATCTCTTTCAGGGTACCACCGCCTCAGTTCAGGGTGAAGCTAAACTTTGATGGAAGCTCCTTGGGTAATTCAGGTCAGTCGGGAGTTGGGGTGTGCACAGAAATGAGGAAGGAAAAGTCTTGGCCCTTTACTCGGGCCCAGTTGGGGTGGGAGATTCATTAAGGGCAGAAGTAATGGCCTTACTTCAAGGTTTGAAACTGGCGAAACAATGGGGAATGCAAAAATTAGAAGTGGAAGGAGACTCCAAGCTGGTAACAGAGTGRATGCAAGCTGGAAACCTGGGAGTGTGATCTCTTAGACAGCCTCTAAGAGAGATTATTAGCTTAGCAAGGGAGATTGGGGTGCATTTTAAATGGGTAAGAAGGTCAGCAAATGGAATGGCTGACACTTTAACTAAGCAAGGAGTTACTAGGGAGATTTTAGGCTTATTAGTCTGGTAACAAGTATTTATAAAATTTTGGCGAAAGTGCTCTCCTTGAGGATTAAAGAAGTCCTCCCATCTATCATTAGCGAAACTCAAGGGGCTTTCATTCGAGGGCGACAAATAGCAGATCAGATTTTAATTACAAATGAATGTGTGAAGGAGCTGAAAAGGTCTAGGCAAAGAGGTTTTGTCTATAAATTGGATCTCCAAAAGACCTATGACTTAGTGGACTGGGAGTTTTTATTAGAGGTGATGAGGAACTTTGGGTTTGGGGACACGTGGTGTACCTGGATAATTGGATGTACCTGCCAATACTATATATTAGTTAATGGTGTGGTGAAGGGTTTTTTTCCAGCCGGCAGGGATGTTAGGCAAGGGGATCCCCTCTCTCCCTTCTTCTTTACTTTAGTAGCTGATGTGATTAGTAGAATCATTACTAAGGCAGATAGAGAAGATATCATTAGGGGTTGGAGAGTAGGGAGGAATCAGATCCCAGTTATCCACATTCAATTTGTAGATGACCCATGATCTTTTGTGAAGGGGGTATTAGTGAGAAGGTAGCAAATCTCAAGGAGCTAATCATAGATTTTGAAAGGATTTCCAATCTGAAAATAAATTTGGATAAGAGCTGCATAGCGGCTATTAACTTGGAAGATGGGGAGGTTGAGGCTATTGTAGTGTCTTGAGTGTTCCATCTCTTCCTAGCCTGTCCTATCTAGGACTTCCATTAGGGGCAAATCTTAGGAAGAGCAGATCTTGGAATCAAATGCTAGAAAAGTTCGAGAAGAGACTAGCCTTGTGGAAGAAGAATTACATCTCTTTGGGAGGTAGAATCACCTTAATAAGGTTTACATTGGCAAATTTAGCCACTTATTTTCTGTTTGTATTTAGGATACTACCTAGGGAAGCTTGGAAGTTGGAGAAGTTAATGGGAGGTTTCCTATCGGAACTCGGACAAGGAAAAATGATCATTTAATAAAGTGGGGAATTGTTTTAGAAGTAGAGAAGAGGGAGGTTTGGGAATAGGGAGGGTGGTTGAAAAAAACCAAGCTCTATTAGGGAAATGGTTGTGACAATGGCCATTGGAGAGCTAGAGGATTTGGCACGTAGTGACAAGAAGCATTCATGGGAGTTCAACAAGTGGGTGGGATGCTGGTTTCTCAAGGCAGGATAACTTGGTAGCACCTTGGAAGGCCATTCACAACATCCTTCCTCATTTCCTCAGGTTTGTCAGGTATGAAGTTTGGTTTGATAATGCTGTTTGATTTTGGGAAGATATTTGGATTGGTAACACCCCTCTAAAGGGCATCTATAAAAAAAACTCTCTAAAGGACCTTTTCCCTTTGTTGTTTTTTGCAATGTTTTTAAACTGACCTGGAGGTCGACCCGGTTTTCCCACCGAGTTGCGGGTCACTAGTTTGACCGGGTAGGTTGAACGGTTCAGTCTGGTGATGTCATAATTAAAATATTATATATATGCATATATATGTATATACATGAATAAAACTTGTAATGTTGTGTCGCCCAAACCATTGTGAAGACTGTGATGTTGTGCCGCCCAAACCAGTGTGAAGCCTATGATGTTGATAGTTTGATACAGTCGCTTGTGATGTTGATATAGTCGCCCCTCATCGATGAGAAGCAAGGCTGTGAAGCCGTGTCCCAAACTAGTGTCACCTAAAACCCCAAACTCAGTAGTTTGGTGTTGCCCAAACAAAGAAGAACAACTGATAGCGTTGCCCAAGAAAAGAACAACCGATAGTGTCGCCCAAACGTGAGGAATGTGGGTGGCGTTTAGCTAGGTTCCGCTGGGGACTGGAGATCAGATCCGTCTTCTTTGTGAGTTCGTCTTCTCCTGTTCTAAATCTTGCATAAACCCTAGATCTAGAACAGAGAAAGTGGTAGAAAATGTAAAAAGAGAAGGGGGTTGACAGTCAAACTGTCGCTTGCTTATCGGTTCGACGGTTCAACCGTCTTGGTTGGTCGGTTTGTTGACTTATCAACGGTTTGTTGACTTATCAACGGTTTTTACGAAAATACCGGGTTTTATGAGAACCAGACTCAGAAAAGTGACCGGGTGATGGTTCGACCATCTGGGTCAACGACGGGTTAAAAACCTTTTGTTTCATTGTATAAAAAAGAGGTGGTTTCAAAATTTATCTCTTCTTCGGGAACACCTATGGCTTCTACCTGGGATTTTGGTTTTCGTATGGGTTTAAGGGATGATGAAATTGAATCCCTCTCTCTTACTTTGTTTTCTTAACCAGGTTTGTTTAGATCCCTCCAAGTCAGACAAAAGGGTGTGGGCTCTAGAGGTGTAAATCGGGCCATGCCGCTTGCGGCCCCACACAATTTTGAGCCAGCCTGGTGCAATGGTTCACGGGCCATGCTGGGCATGGGGTTTTAGGTCCACAAGCCAGGATGGCACAAAACGACAGTGCGGGTTGTGCCGCTTGTGGCCCATGGGCTAGCACGGCACGGCCTAGCCCATAGCGGGTTGAGTGTGGCYTGTTGGAAGAACCAGCTGTTGGACGGTTGAAGTCTTGGAGAGCCCCCAATGGCTAGTTTCAACTTTTTTGGTTTTTTTACAAAAATACCCCCAACAACTATATAGGGGGTATTTATGTATTTTGGCTTTAGGGGCCTGGGGGGAGATAATATGACAATAATGGCCTCCCAACAACTATATAACAACTAATTTAGGGGGCTATTTAGGTAAAGTGATAAATGACTTTATAATGACCAAAATACCCCTCCCAACAACTAAAAAACGACTAGTTTTTAGGGTATTTTGGGCAATTGAATCATTTTCATTTCTATAAATAACCCTATCCTCCACACCAGTCCACTGTTCTCATCACACCAATTCAGCAATTCTCTTCTTAATTCTCATACTCTCTCAGTCTTTCATCTCAATTCTCATACAATCTCATATTGTCATAGACTTAGGCACTTAGCAATTTAGCCATTTAGGAGGCTTTGAGAGGTTTCAAACGTTGAAATGAAGCTGAGATTCTGAATCGGTAATCCGATCATCTGGGTAAGTGTAATTAAATTAATTTTTAGTTTTTTAGAATTAAAAATAATGGTTGGCTCCTCCTCCTAAAACCAATTTCCCAACAGTAAGTTCACTAGCCCAATTTGGAAAATATTTAAAATAGAGGAGGTTGAGGGGAAGGGAAAAAGAGTCGTTTGCCAAAAATGTAGGATTGACTTTTGCTTCAATAGCAAGGGTGGTACTAGTCACCTGGCCAAACATTTGCTCTTCAATGAGAAACAAGAAAAAGACATCTACTTTAAAGATTTGCTGGATGCTGAGGAAATTACAAGACAAAGAAGGGGATGACACTACTACACCTGATGAAGCAGATGATTAACGTCAAGGAGATGGAGTAATTTTTTCAATTTTACCTAATTTATTTGTTATTTTTTCAACGATGTAACTTTTTTATTTTCAATTTGTATTTATTTATATTTTAAATGAAATAAACTTCCTATTCTTTCCAATTTGCTGTCCACTTTGTATTTTCTAATTTTTTTTTTCATTTCTTTGTTAGATTTTTTATTTTTTCAATTTGTTGATTTGTTCTCAAAGTGGGCAAAGCCCAAAGGTAAGTTAGCAAAAAAAAGTCTACGCCTTTCTGGCCCGGTTCGGCCCAGGCCCAACATAGCTCAAACCCACAGCATAGCTTGCAGCCCGCTCGACGCAGGCCTGCGGCCCGACACGGACCATGGGCCATGCCATGCCGGCCCAGCACGGCCTGATTTACACCTCTAGTGGGCTCCTAGACCCCAAGGGACCTTTACTTGTGCTTCTTATTTCAAGTCCATTTTCCAATCCTTTGTCCCACAACCTTTTCTTTCAAAGGAAATTTGGTGCAGGCCGGTTCCTCCAAAGATCATGGCATTTTGTTGGGAATTGTATTATAGGAAAGTAAATACTCTAGATAACCTACAAAAGCGAAGACCTTTCATTTGTATATCTCCCAACTGGTGTACCCTTTGTAGAGCTCATGCGGAGGATTGTTATCATCTACTAATATCTTGTCCATTCTCTGCAGACTTATAGGCTTGGCTACTCTTGTTGTTTGGGAGCAGTTGGAGCTTGCTAGCTGAAGTCTGCTTGATCTTTGAATGTTCTACTTTCCCTTGGCCTACAAAAGAGGGAAAATCATGTGTAGATGTGCCCGTGGTGCCTTGATTTGGACTTTATGGGAGGAAAGGAATGGTAGAATTTTTCAAGACAAGGAGCATGTAAGAACTGAAGGAATGTGTCTTGAATAGGGCAATTTTGTGGTTGAAAACTTTGGAAATCTTTCAGCAATTCTCTTATAATGACCTTTGGAGAAACTGTGCACAAATAGTGAGGTGCTCTTTCATTAAAAATAAGACAGTTACAAGGTGGTCTCCTCCATCTGAAGTCTCTTTAAAGCTGAACTTCAATGGAAGTAGCTTGGGCAATTCAGGGTTATCTGGAATGGGGGGTGCTCTAAGGGATGAGTTTGGAGAGGCGGTGGTACTGCTCTACTCAGGTCCTTTAGGAGTTGGAGATTTCTGTTAGGGCAGAGCTTTTAGCTGCTTTACAAGGGGTTCTGTTTGCAAACCAATTGGGGATAGAGCATTTAATCATTGAAGGGGATTCCAAGGTGGTGGTGGGCTCGCTTAAAAGCCCTGAGAATATAATATGGTGCTACAAGAATGAAATTAAGAAATTTATTTGGCTGACAAGGAATATGTTTGGTTTCTATACAGTGGGGGGGGGGGTGAGATCAGCAAATACTTTAGCTGATGTTAGCCAAACAAGGGATAAATAGGGAAGAATTGTTTCGGGCTCAGCCATGATTTATGTAATTTATTGATATTTTATTTATGAGGTCGTGCCTCACCATGGAATTGGTGATTGGATAATTGGCTTACTGCTTTGATATGATTCACTTAATAAGTTACTATAATTCAAAAGAAAAAGAAAAATGCATAGAACTACAAAAGAATATTCTCAATCTGACCAAAACATTTAGTAACAATAAAGACAAAAGTTAAAACGGCAGACAATTGACATATATAAAGAACAGAAGATGGCCAAAGACCAAAAGGGAGACAAATTGAAATATACCTATTACATCCGCTTAATGTTTTCCCATTTGATTTATACAATTCTTTGTTATAGTTTTTTGATCCTTAAATGTGTAATTATATTTCTTCTAATGATCTCTTGAAGGTTTATTAACTAATTGAATGTTTCTAGAAAAATTTCCCGATTTTTTAAAATTTTCTAAATATCTTAGTGAAATTAGCAAAATATCTCCAAAATTTCCCCAACTCTACATGGAAAATATTCATCAATATCAATATTACGACCATGTATGTATTTTTGTTAGGGCTGTTCTTGGGCCAGGCCAAGACCAGCCCAAATCCAGTCTGAACTGAATACATTTTGGTCCATTCCCAGCCATTTCATATCTGAGGCCTGATTCCACATGCCAGTCTTGGGCTATCCTGGCCCAATGCTTATTCCTATGATGCCTTTTTGTTGATCTACATTGAAGTAGAGGAACTTGCATTTTTTTTATAGAGTACTTCAAGGAAAAGGCTGCAGGAGGAAAGTATAGCCACCTGTTCTCTCACCATTCTATATTAAAGTTTGGCAGAAGTATATATTTCTTCTTTGGGGACTAATAGTGGATTTTCATATGACTCTTGTTTTACTGTAGTTTGTTTTCATATAGATAAAAATGGTGTGTCATTTTATTTATTTATTTATTTATTTATTGTACAGCTGACAACACATGCACACTAACCGCAGAGGACAATTCATACAATTTCATGAAAACAATATTACTTGATCTATCAATATAAATAATGGAAAACAGATTACTTGTTTATATTTGCAGCAAAAATGTAAGTGGAATATATAAAACCGTTTTACKTAAAAACTTGGTAAATACTAAAAGCTCTTTCATATTTGGTGGGATTTTTATATAAAAAAGAATAAGGGAAGTAGCTTAATGATCAACAGGAATGGGGCTGGAAATGTGGTATTACTCTACTTGGGTCCCTTAGGAGTTGGGGATTCCACTAGGGCGGAGTTGTTGGCCACACAGTTTGCAAACCAGCTAGGTGTGGCACAGTTGTTAATTGAGGGCGACTCCAAGGTGGTAGTGGGTAGGCTATAGAATCCAGAACCTGTAGTTTGGTGTTATAAGTATGAAATTAAGAGGTTTAAATGGCTAAGAGGGGGTTTGCTTGTAAGAATATGATGGGGTTGGGAGATTAGCCAATGCTTGGCAGATTATTTAGCCAAGCGAGGGGAAGCAAGGGATCATTTATTTATTTTTTGAAATGGTAAAGTAATTTTATTAGGAAAAGTGAAGATACACAGAAACCTGCCATGGAAAGGACAGGACTGGGATCAACCCCAATTACAAACACCAAATTGACTGAGAACTCAACAATTGAAAAACATTTAAATGTTTGAATTCTGGATGACAGAGATCCAGGACATCAATTTGCTGACTGCCAACTGCCCTATCTCCTATGGACTTTTCACTTTTTGATTGAAGATTCTGTTGTTCCTCTCAGACCAGATGGCCCAGAGAACATCCGCCAGGATAGTATTCCAAATTAGCTTTCCTTTGTCCTTCAAGTTACTGATCTTCCAGCTGCAGAGCAAATCCTTCACAGACTTTGGCATGACCCAGCAAATCCCCACAGCCTTTAAGAAATGGTCCCACACCTGGGCAGCAACCGGACAGTGAATGCAGAGATGATCAGTGGTTTCCGGAATCCGGATGTGACCCACAAAGAAGACAAGAGATCAGAAATCTACAGGCCTCTTCTTTCTAGGTTGGTTCTTGACAGGCATTTATTTAGAGCCATAGTCCAGACTAGGAAGTCAACTCTTTTTTTTTTGGGGGGGGGGGGTGATTGAGTTCCAAATCTGCTTAGATGGAAAAGTCCCCACTGCTTATCTGCCACTAAGCTTAATGGTCATTGATTTTACTGAGAAGTTACCCTCTTTAGTCCAATTCCAGGTCCACTGATCATCCTGACTGCAGTCGATATTTTGAGCTTGTAATGTTTCCAGCAGTCTCATAATTTCGACCAACCAATCAAAAAGACTTATTCTAAACTGTGGAGCCCAGGTCACCTCATTACCTGAGAAGGTGTAGGAGTCAGCAATAGAAGCACTCTGATTGGAAGCACACTGATAAAGAAGAGGAAAAATTTCAGCCAAAGGGTTTTCCAAACACCAAGGTTCCTTCCAGAATCAGATTCTGTCTCTGCCTACTTTGAAGCTTAAGCCCTCTCTAAACATGGGAAAGCATTTCTATGCCTTGCCATAAAGAACAGCCCCAATTAGGAAGTGGATTACTGGATCCCTAGATCTCCAATTTCCCCACTCCACCCCAAAGCAAGGGATTATTTATACTGGGAACATTTGTAGGTTGTTTTTGTTTTTGCTGTGGAGAGTATGTAGCTCACGTATCTCCAAGATAAACTTGTATCAGCTAATCTCCTTATTATAATAATAAATCAATTTATTTATCAAAAAAATTATCAACAGGAAAAAGTAAGAAGCATATAAAAAGTAAAAGCAAAAATCATGGTATCAGCATGTTGAATAGGATAACTGTATTTGTAGCTGTATGGTGGATTTTGAAAAATGAAGAGTTGTATCTATGGTTAGGACTGATTAGGGCACTCAATGGACTCCGAAAGTCTGAAGCTTGGTCTGACATCTAATCTGGTTAAGATCCAAGTCTGATTAAATTATATAATATATATAATGGTGAAACAGGATTCATGTAGCTGACCCCATAAAGTAGGGATATGGCTTAGATGATGATGTAATTATATAATATAATTATAGTGAAAAAGCACTCATCATCATCATCATCATCTTGAGCCTTGGCCTTAAAAATCACTATGGTGCGTATGTTTAAATACAAAGGCTATATGTATGGAATTACATAAATATATTTACCTAATCAACTCTCCAGAATTTAATATAATTTTTTTGATGGGTTTTCTTATCTACATGAATGATCATCTACTTTCCAGGTTGCAGCTCTTAGTGCTATTAGCAACATAGTGATTGACTTTACAGGCCACAAATCAGTTTTCATCCAATCTGGAGGGGTGAAACAGTTAGTTCAGCTATCAAAATCAATGGATTCAACTCTGAGGTTTAATGCTGTATGGGCTTTGAGGAATCTGATGTTTCATGCTGAGAACATATACAAAGAAGTCATTTTACTGGAGTTGACAACATCCACATTGGCAAGCCTTATTTGTGGTAACATTACAACATACAGATACTTCTCCTTAATGGTTCATATGTAATGACACTTCAACACATGTTTGAATGTATATAACCTTCTAATTGCATTATGCTACAGATCCAGAGCCCTTTATCCAAGAGCAATCTCTGGCTCTTGTTTGCAATCTTGTTGATGGGGGTATCAACTCGATTAGGCATGTGTTTATAGAAGATGGTAATATTATAAATGCCATTGGAAGGCAACTCCGTACTTGTTCAAGATCAGAAGTTTGCATTCAGGTTAGCATTTGTTTTATCTTTGCACTTCTTTCTTTTGTCTTATATGTTTACTTCTGTGTAGATAGATGTTCTTTCAGTTTCAAGATGTTGATGTTGAAATAAAAGATATTTTTATAAGGATATACCTTGTGGCTCTCTTGTTGCGGTCACATGGAAAGAGGAAGAATATTACGATGGTTTAGCTGCATTACCTTTGATTTATCATGTAATCCTTGTGATGTAGGGAATGTATGTGCTAAGCAACATAGCAAGTGGAAATGAATTTCACAAAGAAACTGTGATGCACCAACTCTTTCCACCTCAGGCTGGTGAAGACACCCAATCCTTCATGATGAAGTTCTTGCAGAGTAATGACGGCCAGCTCCGCACAGCTGCCATATGGTGCATAATAAATCTAACTTACCCAGATAATCCCGGTGCATCCTCTCGTGTTGTGAAACTCCGGAGTGCTGGCATAATTTCTCAAATAAAGAGTATGGTTAATGATCCGTGCTTGGATGCAAAGGTACCATAAGAGATATGCACTCTTAACAAGATTATTACTTGTCTTTTTTCAGATGCCCTAATTATTATATTAAATCATCCATTCATCTATATTCGTTGCAGTTCCGAGTAAGAACAGTGTTGGAACAGTGTCAACTTCTTCCAGCAGCTTGACATGATCCTGTATCACCAGTCTTTGATCTTCACAATTAGTGCTCAATACCGCAATGTTTGGCAACATCACATGAAGTTCCTTGTGGATCTACGAGACCATGGTATGCTATAGCTTATGATACACAAGGGTTTGTAACAGTTTGTGCAAATCCAACCTCTCCATTCCTTGATTATGCTCGAGCTTTGAGAGATCTTGTCTATCCACTATTATCACCATCCTGTCTAGCCAGGATAAGCCAAGATATGTTTCCCATGATGGTATGCCTAACTCTCATTTGAGTCAGATTTTTTAGCCATCTTGGTTTTTGTGGCGCAATTCCTTTGATGTAATATTGTATAATATTGCAATATGCTCACCTGGGATAAGAAAGACAACGCCCTTTCGAAGTCCACTGCACAGTTGAGCAAAGTTTTTATCCTACTTGTAATTTAAGTTTTCTTGCACATTACAAACTCATTTCTTACATAATCAATTCCATTTAAAGATGTTTAAGGGGTTAACCATCTAAGCAACCTTTCCCATTGGATTAAAGGCCACTACCCAAATTTCTTACCAGCTATCTAGAGGTCTTGGTAAGGGTGGAGTGGGTACAATCCTAACCTTTGGCATTTTATTTTGCACAAGGTAGCTGCCCCCATATCCCCGTGTTCTTATGCTTTCGTAGGGATAGCAGTTTTCCCATTTCCCTCGATCCCCGTGGGGATCTGCCCTAAATGGGGTGGGGTGGGGATAATTTTCCCCCTGCGGGGACAGGAACGGGGATGGGGAAATTTTCATCCCCATTAGCGGGGATGGGGAGTGCTGCCTCGTGGCATCTCCGCTAATATATTGTATATATGTGAACATACGTCTATATAATAATATTTTTAAAATATGGTTGAATATGTTTGAATATTTTTTAATAGAATTGTAAATTTTAATTATATTATTTTTATTTTTTAAATAAAATAAAAAACAAAAACAAAAACAAAATGTGACATTATAAAAATTYATGGGGAGTGGGGATCCTGTGGAGATAGGGATGGGAATAGCCTCGTCCTTGTTAGCAAGGATGGGGACAGGGATAGGGATGGGGATTTTTGCGGGGATGGAGAGCCTCTCTCCTCATCCCTGCCTTGTTGTCATTCCTATGCTTGCGTGCCTGAGCTTTTACCATGGCTCCTAACCTTTTGCTAATGGCTAATGCTTCATACACTAAGGTCTTGTTTGTTTGTTGGTATTTTTGGGTGGGGGGCATACAAATCAGTCAACTAGTAAGTTGACATACTACTCGTGTTCATTTGCCACTATATTGGTTCCCACTAGTAATTAGGGGTAAGAAAAAACCAAAAATCCGAACTGAATTGATAAGATTGAACTTAAAATTCCAGTTAACTGAACTTGTTGGTTTGGTATTTTTAAAAATTGAAGGAATCTGTTTGGTTTCAGTTAATTGATATAAAAATTGGTGATTTATCGAACTGGTCGGTATACATATATTTCTATATATTATATGTATTTTTCTATATATTTTTATATACATTTTTAATTTTTTATTATATATTTATATCTTTTTTATAATATATACTATAAATATAAAAAATCAATGGTTAATTGAACCGRTCAACTAGTTAACTAATAGCCTTTGGTTACCAGGTTTCTAAAAATCAGTAATACTAGTTTGATTTCAAAAATAGCCCCACGATTTGGTTAACTAAACTATGAGCACCCCTATTGGTAATTTAGGATACCTGAGAATATCAGTTACCTAAGTAATTGATACCCTCCTGCGTGGTGGGTAAATAAGTTAGGCCTTATTTAGCAATGTTCCATGGGAGTGTTTCTATTGTTCCTAGTGTTCTTGTAGAGAATAAATGGGTTTGGCAGAAAAAGATGAAAGAAATAAGCTATTCTCGCATGAGAACAACACTTAGAGTGCGTTTTTCGAGAGTGACAAATCGACACTCTCAAAGAATGTGTTCCTAGAGAATGTGCGGTTCTCACAATGTGAATTCATATTAACGAACACGTGGGTGACATTCCACGTGAGAGGAGAGTTATGTTTGGTATTTCACGCGAAATGATAAAAACAAGCCCTAAAACAATAAATTTTCATTGATTTGATAGTTGACATTACCTCATTACCACTGCACAATCTAGATGAGGGAACTCCCTTGGCTCCTATTGCATCAACAACCAGACGATGAGCAAACAGAACAAGTCTTCGATGATATTTTTAGCCAAATTCATGTCAACAAGTAGGTTGTATTGTTAGACAGTGTATGCCCTTAGTTCCAATCAGATTGATATATTTATTGTCATTTATTGTAAATGAATAAAGTGCATAATTGATTCATGYTATTATGGTGTGTTTCTATGTAATATCTTTAAACTATACACTTATGAGACTCGTGTTAATTTAGAATCTTCACAATCATTGAATAAATCTATGGAGATTTATCCTACCAAGGCTGACACTGATGTGCTGCCAAGTTGGTTGGGTGGCTTGTCTTAGCTACCAGGGTGAAACCTGAGGTACATGCAGTGTGGTTTTTCTTGAAACCCTGAACTAGATCAAATTCCAGTATTGCCCTAGACCTTGGAGATAAATGGGCAAAACTGTAATGTTACACTTGACCCCTAGACTCGATTATGGTACTGTACTAGGTGTTAGATTGGGTTGTCTTTGATATGCCAATCAGTGAGATTTTTTACCGGGTCAAAACCTGAATATGTTGGGACAGTCTGAGAATTCATCGGGGAATGCATTATCTGATGAAAACTTAAATTGTCGGCAGTGGATTTCAAATGTATTTGAAATTTGTTTTGCAAAATATATTTATATAGAGATGTACTTATATGTTATGGTTTCACAAAATGTTTGGAAAAAAGTTTTAAATCACGGGATCCATGTGAGTAGAGAGTGCAGAATTGTACATTGCAGTCAAGGGAGATGTCTTTTCTTGTCGGATAGTGTATGATCATTATGGGTTGAGAGATTAAGACTAAACCATTAAGGGTAATACCTGATGAGTTAATCTTGTATTCCTTGGGCCTTCATAAGATGGCTGGACCCAAAGACCATTTAGTGTAAATGTTGGGCCCATTAAGAGTCCATGGTGATTGACTCAGGGGTTCATTGCGTCTTACAATGAATTCAGTCAGGCCTTGTAACAGAAACTGTGTTGAACCCATGTGGCTGATGTGTAGATCAATGCTAGGGTCTAACGCCATACAAAGAGAGCCAAGTTAGCCAACATATTAAAGGGTAAGTGATCTACGTGACTTAATGGGCCTAAAACCCATTTCAAACTGGGCTTAAGTTAGTTAATTAAAAGGTGGCGAAATCTGATTTATAACTTGATTAGAATTAGCTGAAGGATAAGATAAGTCTTATCCATTTAAGAGTCCATATCCAAATATCAGATTTGGATAAAGAAACTCTCTTCTAATAAGATAAGTCTTATCCATTTAAGAATCTAGATTCAAATATCAGATTTGGATAAAGAAACTCTCTTCTAATTGGATTAGGAGGTTGATCCAAAGAAGGCTATAAATAGGGGGCGAATTCCTTAATTTATACACATTCAACAACCTACAGAATTCTTTCTCAGTTCTTGTCGCCCCTAGCCAGTTTGATTTTCACCTTGGAGTTGATCAAGAACAGTTCTTGATATTGTTTCTTGCTGGAAGAAACAATTCAAAGTCGTGCTCACCAGCCCTTGTTTGATTCTTGCTGAAGAATTATCCTACTGACCCTCCCTCACCATACGTTGTGTCATCTTTAGTGGATGCGGGTTTTAGTTTTCTCTTTGGGCGTGAACACCTACGCTGGAAGTTACTGTTATTTTGTATCAGGTATATCCCTCTTTTCCCTTTTRGTTTCAGATATGATCCGGTTTTGTTTCAAGAACGAACATTGAAAATGCAGTTTTCTAAATTAGGGAATACGAGTCCCGGATGGGAGAAAAAGAAATTTTTGAAAATTTGCCCAAGTAGATTGTATTCCTTTTAATTGTATCTAGTTTTATAGTCATCATTGCTTTGTTTTATACTTGTCATTGCTTTGGCTAGATTCACCCAAACTTACATCTCCGACAACAATCATCTCTAACAGATGTCAAGTTTCCATATCRTTGGGCTTTTATTTTATTACTTGTATGTTTTGTTTTGATCCTCAAGTAATCAATGATTATGTAGTGACAACATAAAGACATCATTATGACATGACATGTGTTTCTTATGGTTAATTTTAGACTTAATGTGGGTGGATTTGCAAAAATGATGTTAAGAAATAGTTTCATTATCTAAATGTTATTTTTATTTCTGTAGAACAAAAATCCGTTCTYGAAGAAAAATTTGCCAAATGTCTTTATTACTCCCAAGGAATAAGAAATTATTGTTCTAGCACAAGAATTTTTAAAAGAATCGGAGCAGGTGAGAACATTTCCAAACAGGGCCTTACTCTCCTAATTGTTGAAGCCGATATGTACTTGCATGGGTATATGTACTTATCCAAATAAAGTAAAAAGAAACATGGCCTAATTACTAGATGAACAATCTGGGCTATTAACTGGTTCATCATACTGAGAACATTCTCCATGGCGAACGGCCACCTTTTTTTTCTTTCATTCAGAGATGTATTATGACCAGTACTGATAATCCACAATATATGGCATCCACTGGACTGCTGCCAATTTTTACCACTTTATTATCAATGAATGTAAGAGATTGCTTCAACCCCATGGAATGACCAGTACTGATAATCCACAATATATGGCATCCGCTGGACTGCTGCCAGTTTTTACCACTTTATTATCAATGAATGTAAGAGATTGCTTCAACCCCATGGAAAATGCGTAGAGGGATTGAGGGCAAAAAAATAGGCAATCTTTAATCTCAGAGACAACAAAGTTTAAAGAAACAAAAAATAGTAGAGACCAAAGAGCTTGACCCAAAAACACTCAATTGGCCCACTCGAGTGGCCATGTTTGGGAGTGCTTAAAAATAAGTGCTTATTTGGGTTGGGGCCATTAAGCACTTATTGGTGTTTGGGAAATAAGTTAGAAATAAGTGTTTATTTTAAAAATAAGGGTTCATTTTTTAAGTCTAAATTTTCAGCTTCTTTTAAGCGTTCATACATTAAGTACTCATTTTAATTTTTTCTCTCAGAATTGTCCCTGCTAAATGTTTATAATACCAATTATACTCTTTCAATATTATTACTGTTACGAAAGCACTTTTATGAAAGCAAAGTATTTTTACGAAAGCACTTTAATGAAAGCACTTTTACAAAAGCATTTTTATAAATGTATTTTTACGAAAGAACTTTTATGAATGCATTTCTATGAATGTAATTTCATGAAAGCACTTTTATAAAAGTACTTTTACATGATTTTTACAAAATCATTTTATGAAAGTACTTTTACGAAAGCTCTTTTATAAAAATACTTTTACATGAAAGCAATTTACGAATGTACTTTTATAAAAACACTTTTATTAAAGTACTTTTACAAAAACACTTTTATGGAAGTACTTTTACAAAAGCACTTTTATGGAAGTACTTTTACAAAAKCACTTTTATGAAAATACTTTTATAAAAGCATTTTTATGCAAGCACTTCTATTGAAATACTTTTATTCATTCACTTTGGATTGGACATTTTTAAAATTGGAAAAAAAGACCACCAAACACCCATTGTAAAATAAGTGCTTATTTTAAAAAATAAGCACTTGAAAAAGTTGAGTGCCAAATGCAAATAAGTGCTTACTCCAATAAGCACTTGTTTTTATGCATTTATTTTTAACATAAGCACTCCCAGACATGGCCTAAGAATGTTATTATTTGTTTATATTTGAATTCGCATTCTATGGATTCTTCGGTCCATGGGAGACATGAACCCTCCAATAGCAACGCACCACATCATCTCAAATAATCCATTTCAAGATTCATGGGAGACTTTGTAGTGTGATGCGGCAATTCCTCCCTCATGTCTCTCTCTTCTCTCTTCTCTCTCCATCACTATTTACCTTATTTTCTCTTTTCTTTGATTTGTCTTGACAGAAGCTTGCCTCCTTATCATGTTGATCATCTCTCACTCCCTACTCCTGGATCATATAATTGGTTTTACAGTTCAAGGTAAAGTCTCTAGTTAGGTTGGTGGGAGCGAGGAGAGAAAGGGAGAGTGAGAAAGAAGCAAGAAGGAAAAAGTTTGTAAAAAGAAAATTAAAGTTTTTTTTTTGTCTGCTACCATTTAAATCTGGATAGGGATGGSAATTTTCTCCATTTCCCTAATCCCTGTGGTAATCTGCCCCAAATGGGACAAGGATGGGGAAATTTTCATCCCTATTAGCGGGGATGGGGCGAGGACAGGGAGAGCACTCCCCACCCCGTGGGGATCTCGATCCCCACTTCGTGGGATCCCCACTAATATATATGTATATATGTATGCATACGTTATATATGTAAATATGTAAACATACATCTTTATATTAATATTTTTAAAAATATGGTTGAATATGTTTGAATATTTTCTAATACGATTGTAAATATTAATTATTTTATTTTTATTCTTTTAAATAAAATAAAAAACAAAAACAAAATGATTAGCATTATAAAGAATCACGAGGAATGGGGATCCCTGTAGGGATRGGGATTGGGTTAACCTTCTCCCTGTTAGCAAGGACGGGGACGGGGACGGGGACGGAGATGGGGAGAGGCTCCCCATCCTAACCCCGCCCCGTTGCCATTCCTAAGTCTGGACTCCCGTTAACTTTGAACTAAAAAAAGTTGAGAAGACGTGGTAAATTTAGAGCTACTGAAAACTACTCAGAAATTCGTCTCCATCTAAAGGAAGTAAGATAACAGATTTTGGAACGCACCAAAATCTCGTTTCAGCTACAGTGAAACACTTCATCAACAATTCAACATCGGTTTATTATATTTTGACAAGGTTATTTATACACGCCACCACAGTGCTCGTTTGGGAGGGTTCTCATGCAGTGGCTTATGACTTTATAAAGTAAGTACCACATGGGAAGCTTGGTGAAAAGCCTTCCTTGCCTTAGTTTCATTCAGTCAAAAAATTAGGTACAGTTTGATAAGTATTTTTTGAAAGATCTGATAGATTTGACGGTCAAAAGATAATGTGAATTTTTGTATTAAAATCTTAGTAACTTGAAGACCATTTAGTTAAGGTGCAACTTCCCATGTGACGATGTGGTGCAAAAAGTTGAAATTTTCTATTTGGAGTTTCCCCAAGATAATCCAAAATGGGTTTTGTGCATCTTTTTGGGGAGACATTTTTTGGCGACTAGATCTTTTCTCAACCAAACGAGAAAAGACCAAAACGCGAACAGCTAGACTTCTAAATAACTAACAACCCATACGAAAAAACAATGAATCTGGCTTTAGTAGCTTCTTCAAAGCGGCTTAGTGAAAGCTGTACAATCAAAGCTGAAGCCTTCTCGAACAGATCACCCTACAAAACATTAAATATCATTAAAAGTGCGCTGAGTTTTAATACCTATCATTTCAAACGCACCATAGTGGAGTCTAATACCTTCCCCCTTTGGAAGATTTTCTGAGTGACCTAAAGCTCACCGGTCGGACCAAGAAAGAATCCAGGGTGATGAGAGCATGTTAAATGCCTATATGGAGGACTAAAGCTTAGATTGAGCTGTTTTCACTAAGCTGTCTTGGAGAGGCTTCAGCAAAAAGCCCCATCTCGGACTGAAAGAAAGTTATTTTGCGCCTTCCGGGGTTTGTCAGGCCAACGCCAACCCCATAAAGCCAGAAGCTGCTACCTTAAAGACCTCCTAAATGGGCACTAAAATTGGAGTTCTATAAGGTTTTATGTAAACTTTCAAGAACCTTAAAATCATTGACCTAAATATGAACAATGTCCAGCATTAACTCCCAGGGATTTCTATCAACCTCCAATGAAAACAGAAAGCGAGAAACAATAATCATCCATCAGTCAAGTTACTGCTTTATGTCCATCCAGGATGAAGCTGCTATTTTTTTTTCCTTCATATACATATACAAATACAATGTTCAACATCCTTTATTAGATTGTGGAAAATARCATACACCTTTTGAACCTAATTTGTTGAGAAAAACCAAAGGATACTCTAGTATACTGAAAGTGACAAAGGAAGAAGAGCACATCAATGCAATTAACAGTGCTACCCATCACCCAATCTTCTCTGGTGTGTTTGTGTCATCAGACGGCCATATAACAGTCTCTATGAGTCGTTCCCTCATCAACTCCAAGTTTTGATTGGAGATTTCTTGATACATTGCAGCATGATCACATTTCTTTATATGCCATCAGAGAAAAACAAAAAAAAAAAGGATTACTTATTATGAGGTACAAGAGAAAAGTGAAACTTTGTAAGAATAACAGATTAGTAAGCTTGCCTTGATCCACTTTCCATACAGGTGAAGGCGGGTAACCATCACTCTTTCAGCTAGATCATGTTTTTCCTGCCAATTACACGTGCAGGTAGAAGATTTATTACTCCAAAAACATAAGCTACACAGAAGTTATAGCGTTAGTTTCTCTACCTTTGCAAGGGTACGAATGAAGCGCTTTCCATCTGTGGGTTTATTTGTCGCTACAAAACTGTCAAAAAGTGAATGAAACATGAGTTAGAAGAAAATAGCTCATTGGTGCATTTGACATCCTCTTCTCCGTGCATCATCAGATGAGACAGAAACTTATGGGATCCAAAATAGTCTTCTCACTCCTGTTTGATAGATTGGCAATTGAAGGTAAATCCTATTAAAGTATTAATGTCATAATTTCATCAACCTTCTCAAGAGCAAAGATGTTGAGTGTCCTTGTCATCTCACAGCAAGCATCATCAATGCAAGAGCTTTGCTTTCTGATTCTGTGGATGTAAACTAAGTACATCCATACAGGGAGTTTCTATTATCTATTTATTGAACAAACCAAGAGAAGTTATGGAAGTCTGGATTTGATCCTCTTCCTCAGTCCTGACTAATAGCAAAATCTTAGTCGGAGGATAGTGGTCTCCCCATTTTAATTCAATATCTCTCGTTACCAAAGTAGAGATAAATAGCAAAATGACACAACTGACATGGTTCAATGCTAATATTTACTAGCCAAAATTAGAAAATATTTTACTCTAAATTGACTCACCCAGCTATAAAAACTGAATTCATCTATCAAAAAAAAAAATCTGTAAAACTGAATTCAGTAGTAAATATGAAGAATTATGGATGTTAGACATGCCTAAGGAATGTAATAGATAGAAAAATGTTCTTGAAACCATGTCAAATTATATTGATCACTCTAATACATTCTAGAAAAAAAGAGGAATTAATACACCCTGCTACTGCTGACTTGGGAAAATCGTTGATTTTTCAAAAGCTTGGACTCAAAGCAACTTTAAGCATTGTTCAGACATGACCTTTTGACTTGGTATGCGGATGCTCGAAATGCATGAGAATGCAAACCAAGATAAGAGTAAGTGCTAAATGGGAATGATCACGAAAGGCATTGTGGTTGGAGTCTTTTCAAGGAAAAGGAAGAAAATGGTTCACTTACTTATAGAACCACCTGTACTTTGGTGGGTTCATCTCATAAAGCTGGTTAAGAACAGTCCTTACAGCTTTGTATGTGAAATAGTTGAGTATTTGCTGCAAAAAATAGAATATTGGTCAGAATAAAATAGCTTGACAGGAATAATGCATTGAATTAAGAATGACAATGTTTCAATACTTCAATATATATTTCTCTGAAGGCTCCCAAGCTTCAGCCACCATAGAATTAATAACAAGCAAACAGACAGCTAGAAATGCAGAATTGTCAATAGGGAATTCAATATTGCACATTTGCAAGCAACATTGTTTACAAATTTCTCAAGAGAATATGCAATTATTACATATACACACAATGGTAGCTTGTAATTGAACAAATATCTCTCTCAAGATCACATCTCAAAGGCATGTTTATTTGGGTTTCAACCTTCCGACTCTATTTTTGGTGCATATAGTCCAGCACATGCAGGAGTCTCTTTGCAGAAGCAAATAGAATATGGTGAAGGAAATTGCATTAAGGATTATAATCAATCCATACAACATAGAGCCAACTCCGTCTGTCTAGAACTGTTTACAATGGAATTATCATTAGCCTCAGATACAGAGGGTATACAAAGTGATCCTCCAAATGAATACAGGAATTTACTGCTAATATCAGCACATGATTTTGGTTGTTTCCATTGAACTTATGACTCACTTCAATCTGAGAACATTAACTCATTCCAAGTCATCATGCTAAGAATTTATTAGTAATGGAGGAAGATCTTCATTCTCCATATAGAATTAGATGAGGGATGGACTAATGGTAGCCAAAAAACACTCATTTCTTCTTTCCCCATTACTTAATTTGCAATGAAGAAACTAAAAAGGAGACCTCATCAAGTCTAAAATCCCCAAAAGCTTCTGCTTTGAATTTATCCAGAAATGCCAAAAATAAACAATAATAGCTGAGGTAGATGAGTTATCTCACCGCCTTAACATCTTCGAAGCTATCCTCGTACTGTCCACCCAATTCGTTGACGATCACGAGACGCCGAGCTTTTCTCTGTTTCCTGGAACGCTGATTAACAAAACCCGAGATTGCTTTGGCTGAAAAACGCCACTCATCCCAAGCATCAACAAAAGAACTGGCTCTCAATTCCAATGTCCCCGGCCGCCGTAATTGCTTCCTGCCGGTTAAACTTCTGTACAACCCCAGATCCCCGGAACTCTTGAAACTCATGTTAGATGAAGAAAGAGCATCTAAACAGATGCACGGGCAGGCATGAGAGTCGACCATCGACGATCCCACGATCGATAGAGTTCCTACCATCCTCTCACACCCTGAAACAACAATTTCTTGCCAGTTTCCTGCAACTCAGATCGAAATAAGGGATACCCACCACGAGAAATCACAAAAACAGTAGTGGGTACCTACGAAATTTGAGTATCTAGCCTTTGGCAAGCCAAGTAAGATTCATGAACCGGGAATTGCAGGAGGAGAACGAACCTGGAATGAGAAAACAGGCTGTGGAGTGTGGAGGTGGAAAACAAGCAATGCAGGTGCCTTTTTTTCTGGGGGAGTGGGGGTCCTTAAAACCGTTAAATGCTTACCAGACGATTTTTTGAGGTCCTAAATGACTCCTTAGCTCTTCTTCACTCATCAAAGCTCAGCCCGCTCTGACCCTCTCTCCTGGCGACTACCTACCTGGACGGTATTCAAATTTAGAGGCCTTTTAACCTACGTGTCAAGATCTCGTGTTGCTGGTGCCGTGTAAGATTCCAAAACCTTTGGAAGGTTTGATTTGATCTTTTTAAAAGGAGGTTCCAATGCAAGTAAGARATATTGAATAATGCTTTGTGGGTAATTAAGACAAATTTTCAAATTAATGAATCTTGAATAACCTTTCAAGAGTTTATTCCAGAAATTGGAAATATGATTAAGTCACTATAATTTATCAACGAGTAATAAGATTAAGGTTTATGGAATCACAATCACCAAATATGAGGGTTAAAATTGTAATAAAGCGCTTCTATAACAAAAAATGAAACTGCTTTCTTTAATGTGTTACAGTCGCATCCGTGCCTAGTAGGGGTGTTCATGAAAAACTGAAAAACCGAATCAAATCAAGAAAACTGAACTGCGAAATGTGATTAATTGAATCAGTCGATTCGGAATTTTTGAAAAATTGAAGGACTGGTTTGATTTTCGTTTAACCTATAAAAAACTAATGGTTAACCAAACCGACCAATATATATATATTTATATGTATATTTTATATATATTTTTAATATATGTCACATATTTTCTATGTATTTTATATAAATATATATTCATTATGTATAAATATATACTTATATTATATTTATAATGATTTATTTACAAATATATTATATATTTTTAAAATATTTATAATATATTATATATCATTTATTATTTATAATATAATATATTATAAATATAAAAAACCAAAGAATCGAATTGGTCAAAAACCAAAACTGGCAGACTGGTTAACCGGTAGTACCGATTCGATTTCAGTTCGGCGAAATAAAAAAACCGATACCACCGATTCAGTTTATAAAAAAGGGCTATGATTCGATTAACCGAACCATGGACACCCCTATCGCCTAGGAGCCTCTAAATGTATATTCGTCCACTCCAATCAGTTCATGAAAACAATTTGCTACTATGAACATTCTCATTGACAATGATACACTAAATATCTCAACCAAAAACTATCAATCTAAAGAAAGCTTACCTTAATAGATATGAACTCCTTAGCCTGGATGACATCAAGCGATTCAAGTGTCGTGGAAAAATAAGCGGCTGGCAATCTCGGCTCCACTTTGAATTTCTTGCAAAAGGGGAGCCAATGCTATTTACGCATCCAACACGGTGTAGAACTTCAAATTTGATCCACCGTTATTGGATAGTTATATGCTTAGTTGATCACCATGGTTGGTGGCTATATCGTGGGATCCGCTGTACATACGAAAACATCCACACCTGTTAACGCGTATATTGTGAAATGAGTTGACAAAAGTGGGAGATAGAACATGAGTAGTTGTTTTTCAGTCGCCCGTCTAAGTAGGTTTAAGCATGAGACAAAAGTTCGTGGGAGACAAAAGGGTGAGTTTGTGGGAGATAGAGCACTTGTTTTTTAGTTTCTACTATAAAGGGAGTAAATTATATATATACCCTCTATATGCCCTTTGTAAGCATACACAGGTGGGGATAAAAACTGTCCAATGAAAATTCCAAAAACTAAGGTTATTCGTTTTGTTAAAAGTAACTAGTACGTGGTAGTATCTCTAAGACAAAACTATTTATAATCCATGGGCAGTTTTTGAATGGTTATAAGTGAACAGTTTTTGAACGATTATCAGTGGGTAATTTCTAAAGTGAGAGTAAAGGACATATATGCCCCCTTTTATGCGTACTGTATGTTTAGACAAGGGGGTAGAAAATGTCCAATGAAAATTCCAGAAAGAAGGGGCATTCACTCTTTTATAGGTAGTATAGACTAGTAAATGTGAATGTGAGTTGCACATGGTAGATTGTTATTATAATCATTAAAGTATGAAAAATTAAAAAGAATTTAAAAAAAAAATTCAATACATCTATAATATCATATATTCACAATACATCCATTGTGAAGCATTGCTTCGGATTTATTTGGCCATTAGTAGATGAGCTTCATATGTGGTACAAGAAAATATTGAAATTTACATTAAGGGGTAAACAACTAAGTAAAAAAATACCTTAATTTGAATATTGTTCCTTCATGACCATCTTTCTTGGACTATGACTTCACAACCCGTTGTGAAGGGGTGGAACCTACTCCCCATGTCTTGTGTAATTTGTAGTCTTTCATTAAATAAAATTCCTTTTCTGTTGATAAAAAAATGCAACTTGTGCAAATTACATCAACCATTTGGATTTGGCCATATTAAATAAATGACAAAAATACAATTTCTTATAGAAAATAAGATCAAACCATAGGATCAAATTCATATCTCATTACATTTTCTCAACCATGTTTCACTCCTATTGCAATACAGGTTTCCCCCTCTCAAAAGCAATGGCATAGATTTAGTACCAATTCAAAAGCCTAATAAATAAAGAAAAGCCTTTCAAAAAACTTTTAAAGCATGGAAGAATATATTTCATTAAATTGCCCTTCTCATTAACAAAAATATGCTCATTAAAGAACTTAGCGAACTAAATAATATCCTCTGGCCTCTTAAAATCAATGTATGCTTAAGAATATTGTTGATGCTTTGACCGTAAAATCATTTCAATAACATCTGTTAAGTGCAATTTCCCTAATACATGTTGCTTGTTTGAAAAAAAAAAAAAACAAAGTATTGGCATTAACTCTTTTAGAAGGCACCTTCATAATTTTAGGCGCCATTCGCTTTTTGGTAAGTTACTTGAGTAAATGCTACCTATGTAAGTTTTTCTTGGGAAACACTTGTCTGAGTAAGTACATTTACCCATGTTCTTTTTTTTCTCATGTGGATCAAGCAATGACCATTTTAGCCATAAAAAACCATTATTAAAAAGGGCATTTTTGTCTCATTCAAGTGTTGGCAACTTTCCCCCTAGGTGGGAAAGTTATTTACCCACCTAGGAGATGGGGGTAAGTGATACTCAAGAAAATAAATTTTCCCTGACCCCCACATAAATCTGAAAAAAGAACATGGGATTCTTGGTCAATGGAACCAAAATCCAATTGACCAACTTTCCCCCCTCTCAAAATCCGAAAAAAGAACGCCCCCTTAAAGCTATAAACATCTCTTAGTAAGGTATTTAATTTTGTATTGATACATGTTTCTAACTTCTGGATTCTAAACAACTACCTAAGATTAAGATCAAAACCAAGCTATATATCCATGAGATAGTTTTATGATTAAAAAGAGAATGATGAACAATGAGAAAGGAATAGAGGCAAAACTAAAAGTTTTTTTTTTCTAAAATAATTATTTCCCAACCGTCAACATTGTCTTTGGAGGAAAAGCTCCAATATAGTGCATTACTTGAGTTCCTAGTTTAGTTACAATGGAAAAGAATAACTAAAGGACTTTGACTCGGTTCTGATACAAATGATCCTTGATGATATTTCTACCAAACAAAGGATCTTGGAAACAATAGTAACAGAATGCAATAGAGGGTCAATTTCAAATCAGATATAATTTATCGTTTGCATGGTTATTATAGGAAAAAAATATTAATAACTGAAAGGAGTATTACTCAATAACAATAGTTAATCAATTAAGAATGGGTGTCAAGGAAATAAATGAGAGGTTGCAATCAATTTTTTTTTTTATTTCTTTCTCTTTTTGTACACGATTGTGAAAGATGGCGGAGAGTCAATTTCTGATCTAAGCTACCTTCTCCTTGTTCTTTTCTTTTCTCTCTCTCTTTTTTTTTTCTTGTAACAAGGAGGTGGGAGCAGTACCAGAGGGCTCGTGAACTTGATTTCTTCCTCGAAGTCTTCCATTTCAAACTTGGAACCCAGCCTGACTTATTCTCCTGCTCACCCATCAGCTTCGTCCTCTTCCCTGGAGGCAAATAGGATAACGACTCGTTAATTTCCAATCTTCTACAATCGCAGGCGTTTTTGAAACTTCTGATCAACGCAAAGAATCTCTTAACCTTCTTTTCTTCTTCTTCTTCTTCCTATTGAGTCTTGATCATATACATGTTTCTTGCTCATATCCTTTTCCATTTGTGGCCAAGACAAGAGATGTAAAGGAGAAAAGATATTGAACGGAGTTTGCACCTTCTCAATGTTTGGTTTGTTTAAGCATTGAAATGCAAAGGAAGATGCTTATATATGCAATAGACTTGACAATAAAAATTGCCATCACTGCCCCTTTCCTTGATGTGAAGTTGTAGGGAATAGATTGTGGGAGATAGAACTCTTGTCGCTTTGAATACAAATGTGAGAGGTGTTTGTGGGAGATAAAACCATGAAGTTGGAGGGAACAGTTTGTGGGAGATAAAACTGTTGCTTTTTGGTTTTAATTACTGTAGGAATAAATTACATATATACCCTTTATATGCATAGACATGTAGGAGTAAATTACATATATACCCTTTATAGATTTCTCATGAAGAAAATTCAACCCAACTGTTAAATGGATTAAAAGAGAAAAGAGTGTGAAGAAAGAATTTCATTCGTTAAGTATGGATAGTACCAAGTGATATTTATAAAATATTGAATTATATGCTTTTCTGTGTCCACTTGAAGTCATCATGCTCTAATCGGATTTCAGCTCATTGAAAATTTAACAAATTTCCCATCCAATCTGACCCAAATTATACCTAGGTTACCTTTAAATGGGTTAGGAGCTGCTGTAAGACTTGAACCAAATCAAAATTGAAATGCTCAATGGGTCAATGGTTTTACTAGTTAATTGGGCGATTAGCCCATTTAACTTGTGACAATCATCATGGACCCAAAACCCTTGTCCATTTTCACAGTCTAACCCTTTGGTCCATCCGAGTTACTAGACTGCATACAATTAAGTTTCTCAATGATACCTAAAAATCCGAGGCCTGATTATATAATCTAATTGGATTCGGATGTTTCAATCTATATC